AAATCCGGGATTTGGCGGGATTGCGCGGAATAAAGACGAACCAGGCGGGACTACGCCGGACCAGGCAGCCTTTCGACCACGGACACACCAGCGACGAATATGAACTTAACCTCCCCGGAGCTGCGTCCTAGGGGAATGATATCATGATGCGATTCGCTCAGGATCTGTCAATGAGGAAAATCAAGGAGGCCTCGCGTGGGACCTCGAGACCCAATTTACAGTGGATCCACGTCGGACTTGCGTCGAACTTACGTCGGGTTCTTGTCGGACTTGCGTCGGACCATCGTCGCGCGAACGTCGTCCCATATCTAACGGGGCGGACGTGAGGACTACATATTGCAATTGACTATTGCGCGCCGCGCGAGGCCTACAGGATGCTCGTCGTATTTGGTGTACCCAGCGCAGGAAAGTCAGACTATCAGACGGAGCACCGTGCTCCAATGGACGGAGGGGGCAGGCACTCTGACGTGATTGAGTCTAGCTTTAGGTCGGGCATGTCCCCCTACAGGCGGATGTCGGAGGATATTAACGAATAGTCAACAATATCCAAAAATACTCAAGTCATAATCGAACCATCGCCACCAGAATATGTTTTTGCGTTTTTTTTTTTGTTGTTTTACTATTTTGCTTATTCCTCCTGTAGAGTGACGTGCCCGACTTAAGTCTAGTTTCCCATCCCGAGGTCGACGCAACGCGGCCGCTGCCCGCTCGAGCGAGCTTCGAGACTCGAGATATCTGTGGCTGGCTCCACCATCGCCCGAAAACAAACACGGGCTCAACATACAGTGGAGGCCAGTCCACAAGAAACCTTCCACAAGAAACCCAACCCTGACCCCAACCTTCAACAAGGAACGTCGCGATTCCTTAAACAGGACCATGGAAACCCAAGAAACCCAGGGCACCCTGGAGGCAAGCAGGGTGTTGCTTGGCAGGGCCTCCACTGTATCGAAAAGATCAACACATCGGAGGTCTTGGCCGGGCAGCTCCGCAATGCGTGCTCTCCTCGCGGGGCCCGCGCCATCGAGAGGGCACCCAGAAATCTGGGGGTCGATTTTTGGTGTGGGAACGCCACGCCTTCCATCGCAAAACCATCGAGACCCAAGAAACCCAGGGCACCCTGTAAGCAAGCAGGGTGTTTCTTGGCATGGGTCTCCACTGTACGTTCAACATCATGGATTCAAGAACATCGGGCTGCCCTCTCTTCTGCAACCCGAATGGAACATCAATCGCCATGCAAGAAAAACGGGTCCTGAGGCTTTCCGCCATTCGTGGCCTCCCGGGGCCATCCAAGGTCACAGAACGACTGAGGATGAAGAACTGGTCCTGGGAGAAGGCCCCGGGGCCCAGGACCTGTTTCCTCCGTACCAATTGGCGGATTCTGGACAACCTGAACACAAACATGTTGTCGCCTCTTGGGGGCGCATGTTTTACTTCTGCCATCTTACGCCACCCTTCCGCCGGCGTCCGGCAGCGGAAGCGGCCTCGCTCTACTTCCGCCGACCTTCCGCCGAGGAAGAGATGACAACTCCTTCGATCCTCGAAGGCAAGGTCCTTTTTTGTTGGCACACCCCACGCGAAGTCGGGGGAATCCTGGAGATTCTGGCCACGCACCTATAGAGGCTTGCCAGATGGGGTCCGAGTTGACGGGGTCGGAAGATCGCGTCGCATCGCCAATGCGTCGGCGACACATCGGCGACACACCGGCGACGCCGGCACGACGGAAACCGGGCCGCGCACCGAGCCTCACAGCCGATGCATCGGCGATGCGGGGCAATCCTCCGACCCAATCTGCTGCGACCCCATCTGGGAGGCCTAGAGCACCCTTCTCCTGACACCTTACCCCCTCCAGCCTCTGGCGGTCGGCGTGCACGAACGACACGTTGCGCCGGCCGAACATGTGCAGGTAGTGGTTCACGCGCAGCACCGCCGCGTCCACCGGCGCCGAGGCGCCCTCGCCTGCGCCAGGCCGAGGACGAGCGGTGTGCACGTGGGAGGACATTACTAGGGGAACGAAGAATTACATTGACATAAAAACTCGGAGGTCCGCGGGGATTTCTCGGATCCGCGCTGGACCCCCCTGGCGGCGCCTCAGGCGCCGCCCCTGGCGCGCTCAGCGCGCGAGGGAGGGGGCTCCAGCGCCGATCCGAGAAACCCGCGCGGACCTCCGAGTTTTTATGTTTGTGTCATTCTTCGTTCCCCTGCTCACGTGGGCGGGGTCGCCGACGGAGGGAGAGACGGCGGCACGGGCACACCCCTTCTTCTGCCAGCGCGAGAGCACCGCCCCAGAGGCGCTCGCGCCGCGACAGCCATCACGGCGGGAGGCTTTTGGCCAATCTCGGCCTCTGGGGGCCCTCGCCAGGCCCGGGGACCGTGAAGAGAACGGCTCGGGACGACACGCTGGGCCTGGGGAAGGGGTCGGCCGGCATCGGACAGCTCAAGACGTCGGGCGCCTGGGGCCTCTGGCAGCAGAACTTGAAGAGCCACCGAGGCCGCGGCCATGCCCATCGGTCGGAAGAAGTAGGTAGAAACGTGAAGTAGGGAGGAGTTGAAAGTAGATTGGGTGTCCGCCCGCCCCTTAGGGAGGACGGAACAGGCGAAGCCACTCGATCATTGAAGTAGGAAGACGCTCAACGTAGGTTGGAATCTGGGGCTCCACAAATACCTACTTCCAACGACTGGTGGGTACTGTTAAACTGCGAGGTCCGAACGGGCCTTGGATCGGCGCTAGACTTTCCCCTTGGCGGCGCCTCTTGCGGTGCCCCTGGTGCGCACCGCGCGCCAGGGAGGGGTGGGGGAACGATGAAGTAGACTGGAATCTGGGACTCCAGGGCGTTAGTACCAGGGCGTCTTGTGGGCGAAGACGTCGGCGACAGTCGGGGTTGATCGGGGAGGACACGCGAGAGGACACAAGACCCTTCCGAGGGCCACCTTGCCACATGAATGTGAGAAGGCATTGGTCCCGAAGCTCAGGACACAAGGGTACCCCTATGTTGCTCCCATCGTACTTAAGGACCACATCCCAGAAATGATTTCGAGCACCCAGGAAAGTGTCGAAAGAGTGTCGAAACAATGTCGACAGAGTGTCTCCCAGGGCCCGACACGTGAAAACCCTCGATTGTTTGGGTGTTTTCTTGGTGCTCGAAATTCATTCTGGTGATCAAGGCTAAAGTAGGTTGGAACATCATAAGGGTACCCTCGATCTGGCAGGGTCGACCTACTCATCAATCTCGGCTGTAATGCATGTGCTGGAGGCATGCGTGTCCCCAACAGCCCCAGTTCTTATCTGATCGCAAGCACCGGTTCAAGAGTGGGCGGCGCGCACAAGGGGGTAGGGGGAGGGGAAATCATTTTAGAGGGAGGCTGCTATTCAGAAGGCGCGAGCCTTACATCTACAGACGAGGCCCGCGCCTTCTGAGAAGCAGCCTCCTTCCAAGAAGCCTACCCCCCTCCCTACCCCCCTCTGCGCGTAATCAGCCGAAGTTTTTCGCCCCGGATGAGCAATCAGGGAGTAGGAGTGAGCATGACGATGAACAGGAGAATGGGGGAGTATGTGTGAGCAAACGCTCAAACTCACAGCCCGCAGCAGAAGGCGCATCCGATACGCAGGAGGCTACGGCACAGGGCCAGCAGGAACCACAACCTCGAGATTGCGAACCACAACCTCATGACTGTCGCTCTTGCTGACGGCCCCCTGGGGCCAGAAAACTGGCCACAGAAGGATTGCAAAAAAGGATTGCAAAAAATCCCTTTGGTTTTTTTGCAATCCTTCGTTTTTTTTGCAATCCTTCGGTTTTTGTTGCAATCCTTCGACCAAACAATCCAGAAAAGAACTCCTGCATGGACAGCGCCACGCAGTGGGGGAGACCGGGGACCCGCCGCCGCGTCCCAGAAGGCAGGGCCCAGGACGTCTGCGCGGCGTGGCCGGAGAGAGAGAGATCCGCGCGGGCCTCCGCGAGGCGCCCAGGCGCAGAGCGGAGGCCCGCGCGGAAATGTGCCTGACTCTGGGCATCGCCCAACCTTGACTACCTACCAAACCACCCCAACCCAACCCGAAGACCCGAATTTGACCCGAATTTCGGGTTGGGGGGGGTACGGGTTCCATGTGTTTTTTCAATGTTCCCCAAACCCCCCCCACTGGAAATCGAGGATAAATTTGGACCTTCGGGTTCGGTTGGGGTGGTTTGGTGGGTGGTGAAACCTTGCCTGACTCTGCGCATCGCGCCCCGCGATGCGCAGAGTCAGGCAAACTTGGGCGAGGCGGATTGCCTGACAAAAGTGGGCCCCAGGAGCGGCAGGGCCGTTTTTTTCACCGTTTTCGATACAGCCTCTCTTTTGAAAGTGGAAGGGGCCAAAAACGGCGACCGGAAACAGCAACAAAACAAGCTTCGGGACTGGAACCGGAGCCCGAACACGAAACACAACAAAAGACGGCCACGGAAGCGGCAAACCAAACGGCGACGGAACCAGCAAGAACACGGCGAAACGTAACGGGAAACAAAAACGGTCCTGTCGTTTCCAGGGCCCGCTAAGTTTAGGTCGGGCATGTCCTCCTTCCAGCGGGCGGGCTTGGGAGGAACATGAAAAACACGGTCAAAAGATATTCAAACATAGTAAGAAATAATCGAAACATCGTCCCAGACCATTTTTTGTTGATGTTTGAATTTTCTCCCTGTAGGGGGCCATGCCCGACTTCACACTGAGTGCCTGACCTTGCGAGACGGGTCGCCTAACTTTGCGCCTGAGCCTCCGCGACGGATGGCCCAACTAACTGGGTAGTCGAAGCCAATCTGGCGCCAATCTGGCAAGCCCAATCTGGCAAACGGGGGCAATCTGGCGAGGGAGCCAACGCGAATCCAGTGTGGCGAATCACCCAAATCATCCAGTTTGGCCAGGCCAGATTGGCCCTTGGGGCCCAATCCAATCTGACAGTCTGGCCTTCGACTACCCAGTCCGCGACGGATGGCCCAACTAACATTGCCCCTCGCGCGCCCCGCGAGGCGCGGCGCGCGGTGCTCTGCGCGCCCGCGCGCCTCCGCCCCGGAGAGGGGCGCCAGCGGCTGTCCCAAGGCCGCGCTAACGGCGATGCTGGTTAACGGCGATGTTGGGAATCTGATATTTGTGACACCGAGCTCGCGCAGAACGAATAGTAGGAAATCACGAACCACGCTCTCCTACATTTCAGATGTGCCAACGTGTCGAGCGAGAAAGGCGCAGCGAATTGCAGGAAAGCGCGAGCCACGATGTCCTACAATTGGTTTGGCCACGAACCAGTCCCACCTACAATGCCGAAACTTACATCGCAGTTACCTACATTGCCGTTAGCGCGTCTACGGTTATCTTCGCGCCCCTGGGTGCGAGCTACAGTAGAAGCTGATAGCCAGGATGCGCGATAAGGATGCAAGCCCCTTGGCGCCCAGGAGGCCTCAGGAGGCACCCAAGAGGCCCAAAGAAGCTCCCAAGAGGCCCGAAAGAGGCCTCAAGACGGTCCCCCAAAGGCCTCCAAGCTGCCTCCAAGAGGCCCCCGAGAGGCCTCCCACGAGATCCCAACGACCATCCAATAGGCTCCAGGCACGGCGGCGGGATGGGTCGAAGGCCATTAGATAGCCAGGATGTGCGATAAGGATGCAAGCTCCTTGGACGCCCATGCCGAAGCTTTTCGAGCGGGGCTGGCCATCGAAAGTGGTTGAGGATGGGCCGAAGACGACCAGGGAGACAAAAGTCCAAGGGTACCTTTGGGAAGTCGATCGTCCTAACTATCAATGTTGACTGTAATTTTTCTGAGCGTGCTGTTTCCTAACCTGGAAGTCCCGACTCTCTCCCCATGGCCGGCATTTCACTCCGATTTGTTTGATGACAGTCCCTGGGCCCAGCGAGGGCCCAAAGGGACCGATGTCGGTGAAGCATTAAATTTTCCAATTCGTTTGAGGCCTGGGTACGACAAGCTCGTGTTGTGACGACCCCGGCTTTGGATCCTGACACCGGGGATCGTTCAAACTTGAGCGATCGGCCGTTTCAGAAACGGCGGTTCGATCAACGATGGGCCGATTTGGGGCCACGGGCGGCGTTCAACCTTAAGCGCCCGCGCTGGGGTTGCCGGTGGTCGACACGACGCGAAGCTGCTTTAGTCGCGCTGCAAACATCCAGCAACCTTCATTTAAAACTCGGGACGTGCCCATCAAAGAACGTCGGCAACCCCGAGCTCTGGAGATCTCGCGCCTTACGTCCCCTTGTGAGCATCATGGCTGAACCGACCTCTATCACCGCTGGCGTGGCCTGGGCCCCACTGGCCGATTTACTCTCCTAGATGAAAATGTAAGATGTTTGCTTCAGGATTCGAGGCGTGTGTTCCCAACTGGGATGCTGAGATCGTCGGGCGCGATACTGATGTAGCGGAAGCCGACAGGCATCGAGACCGCTACTCCCCGGACTCCTCCTCGGCTGCGTATTGACCAGGATGTCAAGGCGAATCCAGCCGTGGCGACGAGGGTTCCCGAGGAGGCCCAAATACACCCTGCGAAATGCTTAAGAAATCATGGGTTAAGAAATTCATAGTCTCAGAACTTGAATAAAAACCCTACATTTCCATTCAAATCTTAGGATTTACATTGAAAAGTTAAGAATAATCGAGACTCTGGACGAAAACTTAGGTTTTCTTAAGCATCGCCTAAGGTGTAGAGGAACACGGGGACACGGTAACGGTATCGGTACCCTTTCCTACGCTACCGGAAATTTTCGGTAGCGGACCATCAGGGTCCTCTAAGACGTGCCGCTGGTCCACCCCTCGAACTGAGGACGGTCCACCTCGGGTTCGCGATGCCCGAGTGCAGGAAGAAGCGCTCGGGCACGGCCCGCGCCCGGCTGGCAGCGGGCGCGCCGCCGAACTCAAACGACGGTATGAAGGCGTGCCTGGCGCCTTCGAGCGCGGACAAGGCGCTCAGCACGGAGGACTCGTTGCTCCTCGCTGCGGCGGCGGGGAGGAAGGCATATGTTAGCGGGCAGAGGCTTGGAGGAGGAGGAGGAGGAGGAGGAGGAGGAGGAGGACGAGGAGGAGGAGGAGGGGGAGAAGGGGGAGGAAGGAGAGAAGAGGATGAGGATGAGGATGAGGATGAGAAGGAGGGGAGGAGAAAAAGGAGGAAGAAAAAGGGGACGAGAGGGAGAGGAGGTTCAGTTCGGGGGGCCGTGGGGACCTGGCCAAGCCAAGGTACGCTCGAACACTCACGCCTCAGGGAACAAAGATACCCTACACCTTCATGGACGGGTGGAAGACAACAGCGTAGAAAACAATAGGCACACCGACGCAATGCAATTCGCAATGACGAAAAACAAAGCCCCTTCCAACCGTATCCCCAAACATTGTTGGAAGACACCAGCCAACAAAGAAACGCATACGAACACACAACGAGAAAAAACAATGCCGAACTGCTGCACCAAAACCTGCTTGCCATGACCGCCGCGCCGAACGCAATGGGGCCGCGTATTCCAAGACGCGCAACGCATGCCACACCCGCGCGATGTGGCCCACAAACACAAGCCGTGGCAAACCATGATGAACAACTCCGTTTCCCGGAAGAAGACAACAATACTTAGATAGCAATGATGAAGACACCCGGCGCTAATGGTGACCCGCAATGAAATAATGAACGGTGCCATCTCCAACAACACTCGCAAAGTATGTGGCGAGGTGCATGCCACGTTCAACCGCCAGCCAAAGAAGACCAATCTAAATTCCACCACGTGAAATACACCTTCGAACACTACACCGAAACGCACTGAAAGCACACCAGGCACGAGGGCGATAGGAATGCTAGCCACACGGCTCATCTCTCGAACGCTAGAAAAGAAAAGCCTAAAGGGAAACCATTCGCCCCATCCAGCCATACATCGACTGCACACAGGCCCGCAATGCAAGTACAAACTGCCTCGAACAGCGTAGCGAACCCCATGCCCGCAAAGATCATCAGCGCGCCCAGCAGCCCATTCTCCAAGACACCCTGCCTCGTGAACACGAGGAGGCCACCAGGAAAGCGAGCTGCAACAACGTGTGCCAGGAGAGATGCGAACAAAGTTAACCCGGCGTTGCCAGGAGGACGTGGGCCTCGAGCGGCAGGGGGCGGCGCACCTCCCCACATTAAGCCCGGCCGAGCGGCAGCGCGGGGGGCCACTCGGGCCACCGTGGCTTGAGGGAGGAGGAGGGGCAGGAGCAGGAGGAGGAGAGGAGGAGGAGGAGGAGGCAAGGAGGAAGGAGGAGGAGATATGATAGGATAGGATAGGCTGGGATAGGACCTATCGCGAATCGATTCCACACAGTGTGCTGATCTTCTCTGAACCCGCGGCGACAAGAAAGGACTCGACGACGACCTCTGGATATGTCAGCGCTGAAAGCAGTCACGCGGCATGTTGAACACAACACAACTTCACATCTGCTCAACTCTGCGGGCACTCGGGTGGAGCTGGCGTTGGCGGCGCGACCTCGGCAGCGGGCGCCTCCGAAGGCGCAGCGACCGCTCTCCAGTCAATCAGAGGCCCCGTCGCGACAGCGGCCCGCGCAGCCATAGGGGGGGCAATCATCCCCAGCGGGGGTCCGAACTCGCCAGACGCCGCGACGCCTCGCAGGGCGTCGGCGTCGGCGAGCAAGCGAGCCCGCTCGGCGCTCGCCTCCCAGCGCGGGCGGCGGGACGCTTCGTCTAGCTTCGCGCGGCGGCGCACGAAGGGCTGCCCGTTCGACCGCGACTGCATGCGAAATTCAAGGTATGCGTGTGCATTGCCTCGAGAGGGGTGAAAGGCGGAACCGTCGGATTCGGCGCCCAGGGCGCCGCCGTCTCGATCTCGGCCTGACCCGTCTCCACAATCGCCGCGTTCACGAACTCCTGCTCTTCGATGGACTCGCGCTCCACGCTCTCCTCGAGCCTGGCACCCCCAGACGATGAAATGGGCAGCGACCTCTCGGCCGCCTCCTCGTACCGTGGCACAGAAGTCCCCGCAACGGCGCAGGCGGGTTCCTCGGCCGCGTCCACAAGGTGGGGAAACAAGGAGAAAATCGTGGCTCCGCACGTGCACACCGCTGGCAGCAGCGGCGCCTCGCCGTCCTCGCTTGGCAGGCTGGGCTCCCAACTAGCGGCCCGCGGCGTGTGCATCAGGATGTGCGGGACTGGAGCCGACAGGTCTGCACCTGAGGGCCTCCGAGATGGGGATCGCCTCCTCTCCTCCAGCCTGGCCCCGCGCTGCGTCCGACGCAGCTGGGCAGCCGAGGCGTGCTCTACATTGATGTCCTCCGCGTCGGAGTATAGCGCGACGCTCCTGTGGAGCACGTCGAGCACTTCGGCTCTTCGCCGCAGACGAGTCAAAACAGCAGGAACTACCGCTCGAAATCGCGACCCCACTTCCGAGCTCCCCACGATGATAGACACCGCCCCCTCTGCCAATCGCACCCGCTCGGCGAGCTGGTCCACTTGACCGGAGAGGGGTTGAACGAGATGATCAGCGGAATGACGAGCCTTCGATCTTCGTGCTGCGCGTGATGAAGGAAGAGCGTCACAAGCAGCCACCTCCACGACAGAGACTTCCCAGCCGCTGCCACCGCGAGACACGTTGCCCAGCGAGCTTGAGCAATGGGGCTGTCATCACCTGGTGGATGGCATGAGCCAACATGGCCACGGAGGAGGAGGAGGCGGAAGAGGCGGAGGATGAGGAGAGGAGGCCTGCGTTAGCGGACAGAGGTTAGGAGGAGGAGGAGGAGGAGCAGGAGGAGGAGCAGGAGCAGGAGGAGGAGGAGGAGGAGGAGGAGGAGGAGGAGGAGTGAGGAGGATGAGAGGAGGGCAGGAGGCGGTGGGGAAAGGAGGGGGAGGAGAAGGAGGAGGAGGAGCAGGAGGAGGAGGAGGAGGAGGAGGAGGACAGGAGGCGGGGGTATGGAAAAAGGGAGGAGAAGGAGGATGAGGAGGAGAGGGGAGGGAAGGGAGGAAGAGAATAGGAGGAGGAGGAGGAAGGTAGGATGAGGAGGCCTGCCCCCTCTCACCTCCCCCCTCAGCGCACCGCCGATCCTCCTCGGGGTGTAGAAATACTCGTCCGGGTCGAGCCGCGGGGCCACCCACCGGCTCCGGCCCCGGTGCCGGAAGAGGCAGTGGATCTCCTGTGAGGGGCTCCCTCCTCCTCCTCCTCCTCCTCCTCCTCCTCTCCACTCTCCTACTCCTCTGCCTCCTCCTCCTCCTCCTCCTCCTCCTCCTCCTCCTCCTCCTCCTCCTCCACTCCTCCTCCTCCTCCCTCCTCCTCCCCTCCTCCTCTCCTCCTCCCCCCCTCCTCATTCTCCTCCTCCTCCTCCTCCCTCCTCCTCCTCCTCTGCCTCCTCCTCCTCCTCCTCCTCCTCCTCCTCCTCCTCCTCCTGCCTCCTCCTCCTCCTCTGCCTGTCCTCTGTGTCCTCTGTGTCCTAAAAACGGTGTGTCTCATGAAACACTACCGCACCTACATCACGCAGGAACTCTCCCAGGAGCGGCCGGGACCTCCACCCAGGACGGAAAAACCCCAGGGTTCCGCGGCTTAAACACGTTAAACACGGATCCACGAGGCCGAAAATTTGGGCACAGCAGTTTAACCTGTTCAAACATATCAAACATTGGCCAACCGCTGACGCCGATTAACGGGAAGGGAAGGCCCCAGTAGACATCAGACTGAGGCTCTCGCCCTGCACGGAGCTTATCCAACGCCTTCCTGGCAAGACGATTCGCTGGCTTACACTCGTCGCGCAACAAATGCGTCTGCCGTCGGGCGTACGCCCCGCAGACGTTACAGAACACGATGCCTCCTCCTCCTCCTCCTCATCCTGCAACGTCGGATGGGGACCAGCTACCCGGCGATGCAGCGCCGATGGATCGGGGACAGGCCCCCGACAGCGAAACCGCACGCTCCTGGGGGGTAGGATTATCGGGCCCCTATTCGGAGCACGCGAACATGGATTGAGGATCCGTAGATCTGTGCCGCCTAATTTGGCGCTGGAGCGCCCCAGTTTCGTAGCGAAACAGGACCCGTCGCTGAGCCACGCGCCTTCAACATGTCGCTCGTCCTCGACCCATCGGCGATTAATGGGCAATTGGGTGTAGGAGCTCCCCCGCCCCGGAGCCGATCCCCCCTTAGCGTTGCCACGGATCCTGGAACCCGAGGCTGCACCCAGCGGTGGGGTCGTGGATGGCGGCGGCCTCCGCGCCGGCGAGCCGCTCGCCGAGGTGCGTGCGGACAAAGCGCGGGAAGTAGCGGAGCCGGCCCGTGTGCTCCCAGCGCCTGAACGCGTCCTCTCCTGGAGCCCGCTGTTTTTCCCAACCCTCCTGTGTGCGGGGTCCTCGTTTTAAATTCGCAGTGCCGCGCGTCTCACTCCTCCTCCTCCTCCTCCTGCTCATCCTCTCCTGTTCTTCTTATAATTTTATTGTTATTATTCTTATTAGTATTCTTCTTCATCATCATCATGACCGGCATCCGCAAAATTCTCATCGTCGTCATCCTCATCCTCAACCTCATCATCATCCTCATTCTCATCCACATCCACATCCTCATCCTCTTCCTCATCATCATCAACATTACCATTTTCATCTTCTTCATCATCATCGTCATCATCACCAATGCCAACACCATTACCATCACCATTACCGTCATCGTCTCCATCATATGCCTCAATATCATCAGCAACAGTATCAGTATAAGTATCAGCAGCAGCAGCATCACTATCACCATCACACTCACCATCACCATCACCATCACCATCACCATCATCATCATCAGCAGCATCATCATCATCATCATCATCATCACCATCGTTATTTCTTGTTGCGTCAGTAATAGTATTATTCGTCATCGTCTTCATTATCATAAGCATCGTCATCATCGTAGTCATCACCATCAACACGATCATCATCATCATAATTATCATCATCATCATCATCATGACCATCACCATTATTTCCTCATCCTCGTCCGCATCCTCATCAACATCCTCATCACCATCCCCATGTTCATCGTCATCAGCATCACCATCAGCATCATCATCATCATGAGCACCATCTCATCAGCAGCAGCATCATCATTATCATCAGCATCATCATTATTTTTATCATCATGATCATCAGCAGCATCAGCAGCAGCATCAGTATCATTATCACCGTCGTCATCATCATCATCATCATCAGCAGCATCATCATCATCATGTGCATCAACACCTTGATCTTTCATCTTCAGCATCGTCGTCGTCATCTTCGTCGTCATTGTTAACATGACCATCGTCATACTCGTTACCACCATCACCATTCTCATCACCGCCAACGCCCTCACACGTGTCGTCTCCCCTAGGGAACTCCAACGACGGCTGTTGTGTCTCCGTCCGCAGGCCGTTTCGGGTCCACTTCGGCACACCTGTCACACGTTGCTGCCCCATAAAAGGAACTCCACCGAAAACTCCAATGCCTCTGTCCGCATGCCGTCTCTTATCCAGTTCGGCACACCTCGCAAACGTTGCGCTGCCCCATATGGAGCTCCACCGAAAGCTCCAATGGCTCCGTCAGCTTGTCGTGTCAGGCCCATTTCGGCACACCTCTCGCACGCTTCGCTGTCCCACGGGGAGCTCTACCGAAAGCTCCAATGGCTCGTCCGCATGCCGTCTCGGGTCCACCTCGGCACACCCGTCACACGCTTCGTGGCTCCATTTGGAGCCTCGACAATGGCCCCAATGATGACGTCTGTCCGCATGCCGTCTTGTGTCCACTTCGGCACGTCCATCACACGTTTCGCTGTTCAATCGGGAGCTCCACCGAAAGCCTAAATGGTTTTGTCAAGATGCCGTCTCGGGTCCACTCACACGCATCGCTGCTTTATAGGGAACTCCACCGAAAGCACTAATGGCTCCGTCCGCATGCCATCTCGGGTATGTCCCGGCACGCCACTCGCATGTTTCGCTGCCCCATGGGGAGCTCCACCGAAAGCTCCAATGGCTCCGTCCGCATGCCGTCTCGGGTCACTTCGGCACGCCCGTCACAAATTTCGTCGCCCACTATGGAACCCCACCGAAAACTCCAATGCCTCCGTCTGCATGCCGTCTCGGTCCACTTAGCATGCCGTGTCAGAGGTCCATTTCGGCACACCTCTCACACGTTGCGCTGTCCTATGGGGAGCTCCACCGAAAGCCCAATGGCTCCGTCCGCATGCTGTCTTGGGTCTACTTCGACACAACCGTCACACGTTTCGCTGCCCCGTGCCCCCAGCGGCGCCGTCCGCATGTCGTCTTGTGTCCACTTCGGCACACCCGTCACACGCGTCGTGGCTCCACAATGAGCCCCGGAAGCTCCGTCCGCATGCCGTCTCGGGTCCACTTCAGCACACCCCTCGCACGCTTCGCTGCCCCATGGGGAGCTCAACTGAAGGCCCCAGTGGCTGCGTCCGCCTGGTGACATGCCCCATTTCGGCACACTCATCACACGCTTCGTGACCCCATAGGGGCCCCTAAAAGCCCCAGTGGCTGCGTCCGCCTGGTGATCCGCCCCACCTCGGCGCACACATCACACGTTTCGCTGCTTCATAGGCAGCTCCACCGAAGGCCCCAGTGTCTGCGTCCGCATGGTGACCTGTCACATTTCGGCGGACCCACCCACACGTTTCGTGGCCCAGTAGGGGGGCTCCCCTGAAAGCCCCAGTGGCTGCGTCCGCATAATGACCCGTGACCCGCCCCATTTCGGAGCACCCCTCGCGCGCTGCGTGCCACCCCCATTTGCAATTTGGAGAGTGTGTGCATGAAGGGATGACTTTCAGCGCGGTTTGAAATTATTCGGCGAAGAATTCAGGGGCACCGCAAATCCCTCAATGTGTTCTCATGTATTGAATTGTGTTCTTGATTGTCGCCGCGTGGTCAGAAAGGGTTGGGCTTTTCGCGAACACATTACTGATTCGCAATAGCGCCCGTGACTGGCCCCGCATCCCCCCCTTCCCCCCTGGGCACGCCACGATTCACGTCAGCGCCGTCTGGGTACTAGCCATTCCTGATCATTCCCAGAAGACGCCAGCGCGAATCGTGACGTAACAGGCGCCCTCCCCCCTCAGGCATGTCTGTTACCGAGAGGGGATTAACCAAAAAACGGTCTCCTGAACTCGTCCTCTCCTGATCGGGTGTCGCCAGAAAGGAGAAAGGTGCCCCTGCGGCCCAAAAGCCCAAATCTCCGACGATATACTCTTTTCTCACTCCGGGCGTTTCTGCTCGATTCCGGCCCCTTTGGGCCCGCCCTCGGGGCACCGGACCATTCGAAACGGACCAGGTGCGACAGAATGGCCCCGGGGAGGGGATCGGGGCCTCTGGGACCGCGCACTCAACACAAACCATATCGTTGGATGTCAGGGGAAGTGCCCACAGGATTTGGAGTGAGGCCCAGGTGCCCTCCAGAGCACTCCCTGCGAGGTCCAGAGGGCCTCCCAAAGGGGGCTCCCGAGCAGCGGGAGGGACTTGGGGGCACCCTGGGCCTCAGGGGAACACCCTCGGCAGCAGCCGCCGATCCTGTGCCATCCGCGTCGTAGAGGTCCACCTGGAAGCCGATCTTCAAATGGTGCTCCACGGAATCGGCGACCGCGCGGCTGCCGTGTAGGCCTGGGGGGAACAAGAAGAACCGGCACAAACATGCCGCACCTTTTCGGAGATCCGCGCGAATTCCTAGGATCGGTGCGGGACCCCCCTCACTGGCACGCCGACCCAAGCCCAGCGCCGACGAGAGACATCCGCGCGGAACTCCGAAAGTTGATGTTTATCGAACTTGTTCTTCGTCGAAGGCCTCGGTAGGTGGACGAGCTCGGGGGGGGAAGTGCCGAACTGAAATCGGCGATACATCACCGACAGATCGGCGATAGGCCCCCGATCGCGAGTCCGCGCGTTCCTGGTGAGGTTGGCTATCGGGCGCCCATCGGCGATGAATGGGCGGTTGGGGGTCGATGTGTCCCCCCCCTGAGCCCTACCCCCCTCAACGTTGCCCCTGGTTTTCGGGTCATAACTCGGCTCTCAGGCGGCCGTTCGGGACGATCCAGGCGGCCCCGGAATGCCCTCGGCAAGGCGCAGCTGCTGGAGGGCATTCCGAGGCTGGAACGCCGCCGAGAACCGATGAAAACATACGAAAACCTCAAAACTCGAAACCTGGGCGAGTGTTAATTATCCCCCCTTAGCGTTGCCCCTGAAGGCCGTGGAGCGGCTCGGTGCAGACCACCGCACCGCGGGCGCGGCCAGGGACGCCGCAGAGCTCGATGAGCAGGGGCTGGAGGAACGAGCCTTCCGCGGCCAGCAGGTCCACGGCGACAACGGCGGGGTACTGCACGCTGCGCGGCAGCACGCAGGCCACCAGGTTGGACTTCATGGGCTTCATCCAGCCGAACCCCGACATCGGGGAGCAAGAAGGGTGCTCCCTGCCACAAACCCGTGAAAGCCGGGAGGGGAGAATAACCCCAAGATGCGTGAAGGATGTTGCAACATCCCCTCCCGTCCCAAGTCCCCTTCCCACACGCCCCTGCGATCATTCCGTTCCCCTGCGAGACCCCCCTCTGACAGACGAACACCCCATGGCCTACCCTGCAACGAGGAAGGGGAGCGGGGACAGGAGGGTGAGGGCGAGGGATCGTTTGGGGGAGGCCGCTGGGGGATGGAGAGAGACGGACGTGACCACTTCCTTGCCGAGGTGGCGATGAAAGAAGGACGCGAAGGAATGCCCGACTAATGCGAGGGCCTCCAAAACTTTCTGCCGCGCGCCGACCGAGGCGCTGGGCACCTGCGCGACCAGTCGCGAAAACACCCCCCGGTGGAGAGGGACGGCCACCCGGGGGCCCAGACCGCGGAGCGCGGCGTGGCGCACGCGAAGGAGACCCGGGACTGCCAGAGGGTGGGGGTTCGTGTCCCACTGTACGCAGAATTTAGACGAACAATCAAACATGCCCAGAAAGTACTCAAACCTACTCAAAGTATGCGCAAACATGTCGTCCCCGGACAAGTGTTTCACGAACTTCAGATGCTCCTCCTGTAGATGCACACGCTCGACTTAACGCGAAGCGCGACCTGGCGCCCACGAAGAAGACCCGGACTGCCAGAGGGCGGGGCCAGGGTGGACGGCGGGTTCACGTCGCGAAGACATCGGCGATCGCGGCGAAGGCTCATGACACCGCGGATCCTTCAAACCTGGACGACCGCGGCTTTCCGATGGGCGCAGATCACTCGATAACGGCCGAATCCTAGACACCAGGGCGGCCTTCAATCCTTAGCGCACGCCCTAGCGTCGCCGCCGTGCGAACGCGACGAGAAATTGCTGCACGCTTCTTCAAAGGAACAGACAACGGCATAAACATAATTTCTCGGAGGTCCGCGCAGATTTCTTAGATCTGCGCTGGACCCCTTCCACTGGGGCGCGGAGCGCGCCATGGGCAACGCCGCCAGGGGGACCCTGGCGCCGAAACGTATGTCCATGAGTCGCTTATTGTCTTCTTTTCCTCGAAGCCTGCCGCACTCTTTTTCGATGGTCCTCAGACGGTGTGTTAGCGCCAACGTGTGCTTGTCCACCAAAGCCCTTCGATACGGCCGGCGCAGGCGACGCATCGAAGGGCCGACGCACGCTGCGCGTATGGAGCCGAACGGAGTAACGCACACATTCCCGCGTCCTGAAGATTCAGGGGGACGTAAGACCTGGGTACAGGGGACTCGGAAATCCCCGACGAGGTCGTCAAAAAAATGACGAGGCCGAGCCTGCATTTTGACGAGGCCTCCCGCTGCAGACATCCCACGAAACTCCTCCTCGTCAAAATCCGAGGCGCGGTCAAAAAACGATGGCGAACCCGAGTCCTGGCAAACCCGGGTCTTACGCTCCCCCGAAAGATCATCGATCCTTGCTCCCCAGACAGCGTGCTGGCCGGCACCGAGATGCCAGACACCGAACACTGCAGCCGCAGCCACTGCGAGCCCACGAAGCTCTCGCAGACCTGCTGGTCCGTCCCGACGTCCGTGCGCTCGAAGAACAGGGCCTGCGACGACGAGGCCGGCGGCGTCGGCGGCGGCAGCGGCGGCAACCGCGCATGTCGTCTCTTGCTCGTCATCGTGGTCCGCCCGCCTCCTGCCTTCCCTCTGCCTCGCCCTCGGCCCAGTGCTCTTCCTCGGCCACCTTCCTCCCTCCCGCCGCCCCCCTCCCTCGTCACGCCTGCTCCCTTCTTCGACATTCCCCTCTCCAGTCTCTCTCCCTCGAAACCCCCGCCGCGAACCCCCTGAAGGCCTCCGAAAGGCCTCCAAACATGCCCAAATGCCTCCGCACCAGTCGTCGTCGTCGTCGTCGTCGTCGTCGCCGCCGTCGTCGTCTTCGTCGTCGTCGTCGTCGTCGTCGTCGTCGTCGTCGTCGTCGTCGTCGTCGTCGCACGGCTGGCCACTGTCGTCGCGGCCGCTGTCGTGCCTCTGTCGCGGGCCTGGCTGCCGCCGCCATTGTGCCGTCGTCGCCGCCGTCGCAGCCGTCGTCGTTTTCGTCGTCGCCGTCATCGTCGTCGTCGCCGCCATCGTTGCCGCCGCCGCCGCCGTCGCCGCGGTCGCACTCGCCGCCGCCGCCCGTCGCCGTCGCGTCCTCGTCCTCACCGCCGCCATCGTCGCGAGCCGGGCCGTCTCAAAGACGCGGCGGCCGCTGGGCGTCTGGTGCACCGTGGCCCCGAGTACGTGCACCTCTTGGAGGGAAGAGGGGGCACCGCAGCGGGAGGAGAGGAGAGGAGGAACGAAAAGGGGAATGGGGAAACACGACAAGGACTAGGACGGGGTGGGGTGGGTTGCCTCCGCAACAGCAAGTCCCCCCAACAAAAACCGACCAGGGGGCTCGATGGGCGCTACAACGCCGAGAACGAGCTCAATGCCAAGAGTCGTGCGTCAGGATCACCAGGTGTAAAATTGACCAACTCATCGCCCAAATGAATGATGACAGCGTGAGGTAAGTGGCACGGCTTTCTCAGAGGAATCGCGGTGGGGGTTGGGGAAATGAGAAAAAGGCAGGACATCGGTACTCACAATGTGTACCCGCGCTGCAACGGCCGCTCCGAAGAAATTCGCAGGGGGGGCCTGTGGCCAGCTACGACGTTACGCACGAAAACGCACGGGTCCTACACGAGGCTGCTCTTGGGGGAATCCTCGGCCGAGATACCCTCGCAAACCAACGCCGTGATGCCATATTTGATTTGGTCGGATTCCCCGCATACGTGACATCGTGACATCACCACGTCTCCACCAAACACAAAACTGGAGCTCTCGGTGCACTTTTCCCCGCGGCTGGTCAGCCCGCGAGTCCCGCGGCCTGCAACGGGGCGAGCAACAAAAACCCGCCAGGAATTGTCGCAACGCTCGGAGGATGACGGACAGGGGGCCCCTCGTTGCGTCTCGCTGTCGGGCCGCGGCTCGCGCCTCGGGCGCACCCGCCGTCAACGACCATGGCCTCGCGGGAAAGCTTCCCGATGAGGGGCCACTGGCCGAAAACAAAAACAAATTGGGGTTCGAGAGCCCGCAGGGCCCCCCGAAGAACAACGAAAACGCTGCAATCTAATCCTCCCGCGGTCCAACAGGCCCGCGCATCGCCCCGTCCGCCATTCTGAACGTGTCCCCAGCCGCGTCGACGGCGAAGCCCCGCTTTTCCGCGCCGCCAGCTCGTCCTCCCCCTCCTCGTCGCAATCCCCCTCCCTGCCCCTGGGGCACCGAGAGCCAGCTGGTGGCATGGGCGGTGGCGCGCGGCCACTCGCCGCACCACTGGGCTTCCACCCGCTCCACCGGGGCCTCCAGCCGCTCCTGCGGAGGCCGCGGCCGCCGCCAAACGTCCACTCGTCTTCCCGCGCTCCCCCTCCCCGCCCCCTTTTGCTCCCCCGCCTCCGCCTCCGCCATAGTAGTTGTTCCCGTTTCTTCTCACCTCCTCGTCCCTCCCGCCCCCCCCTCCCCCTCCTCCTCCTCCTCCTCCTTCCTCTTCTTCTCCTCCTTCCTCCTCCTCACCTCCTTCCAGCCTAACAGGTTCTCGCTCCTTCCTCCTGCTTCCCCCCCCCCCATCCCCCCCCCGATCCTGATTCCATCATATCCCTTCTGCCTTCCGCGCCCCTCTTCCGTCGCATCCCTCCTTGGTTCGTCCTCCTGTCCTCCGTCTCCCACTCCCTGCTGTCGCTTTCAACGCTCCCCCTTGCTCATCCTCCGTCCTCGCCCATCCCCTCTCATCCTCCCGCCTTGCAGCCCCGAGCCTTGATCCGCCCCCTCTCCCCCCTCCTCTTTCTCCTCCCTCCCTATGAGTCCTCCTCCTCCTCCTCCCCCCCTTTCTCCCTCCCTCCTGGGAGGCATGGCGGAATCGGGCCCGTGCGTTTCGAACATATTTCGGAAGTGCCCGGGGGGAAGGCGCGGGGGCGCTGTCCTTCAGGTCGTAATCCTTTAGGTGGTACCCGTGTTACTGCACAGAGAGCAGGGGACAGGAGGCGAGGACAGAGGAGTGGAAAGGACGAACAAGCGGGGAGGGCATGAATGATGAGGGGGCTGGAATGGATGGGCGGCAGGGAGCATCGGCATAGCGAGCAGGGAGGAGAGGACGGCAGGAAGATACAGGAGAGCGGCGAACGCCAAATTGGGAGCGCTAACCCCCCCGAGTCCCCCTAAACACGTTCACGCCCCGCATCCCACCACTGCCCCTGTCACAGTGGACCCCCAGATCAATGCTTGAGCAGCGCGGGGGTGGGAGGAAAGGACGGGCGGGCGTGGAGGGCGAGCGCGAGAAGGTAGCTGGAGATGATGGGTGGATGGGGCACGGGTCTAAAGGGCCGGCAAAGAGGACGGCAAGAGAAAGCGGAGCGGCGAGCGACGGGGGAGCGCTAGAACATCCCGAATGCCCTCAAACACCCTCACACTCTCATACCCCATCCACCGCCCGTATCGCAATGGGCACCCGGGCTAATCCTTGAACACGTTTTGGCAAGGAGTCCCAAACTGGTCGTATCGCCACAATGCACCTCCTCCTCCTCCTCCTCCTCCTCCTCCTCCTCCTCCACCGCCCCCTTCTCCTCATCTTCTCCTCTCCCTCCGCCTCTTCTCCCGTTTCCACCCAAGCCTCCCGGGCCCTGGGCTCACCTCCCGGGTCTCCGGCCTTCGTTCCGTGCTTCTTGTCGGGTTGGGGATTTCGAGGTCGCTAGAGAATGGCGGTCGCGCTGCGAAATTAATCATCTCCTTCCTCCTCCTCCTCCTCCTCCTCCTCCTCCTCCTCCTCTTTCTCCTCCTTTTCCTCTTCCTCGTCGTCGTCGTCGTCGTCCTCGTCGTCGTCGTCCTCCTCCTCCTGCATGAGGGGGGAGGGGGTGTGGGCCCGCGGCCTCTTCGCCGCGCGAGGACACCTAACTAAGGACAGACAAAACGGACACTTTAGCGGCCAACGCACAACCAGTGTGGCCAACGAACCCGCAGACCTCGTGCGCATGACCTCGTGCGCATGCTGTCTTCTGCGCGGAGGGCCTGTCGGCTTGCCCTCGGGACGCGGGAGACAGGATGGAGGAGTAGGAGACGTAGACGGAGGAGCAGGAGCAGGAGGAGAAGGTCGAGATGGAGGAGGTGGCAAAGGGGCGGGAGGATGCGAAGGAGGACGAGGAAAAGGAGGAAGAGGAGGATAATATTCAGGATGTGGAAGAAGAGGCGATTACGGGGGAATGGAAGAGGGAACGGAGGACGAGGGGTGGATTTTAAAGGTGAAGGCGGTGAAGGAGGAGGATACTCATATGGACGAGGGAACGGAGGACGAGTGGAGGATGTTGAGGAGGTGGAAGAGGGCACTGAAAAGGTCGAAATGGGAACGGAGGTCGACGGGAGGATGGTCGAGGAGTTGGAAGAGGAAGGGACTGAGGATACGGAAGATGGAAGCAGGAAATGATCGGATGATATCGAAGGAGATGAAGCGGCGGACGAGGGAAGGATATCGAGGAGGCGGAAGAGGACGACACAGAGGAGGTGGAACAGGAGATCGGAGAACAACTGGAAGATATCGAGAAGATGGACGCGGATGTGGCTGAGGAGGTGGAGGAGGAAGCGGAGACGAGGAACCGATATCGAGCAGGTGTGACAAGAATATACTGACGAGATGAATGAGGGAGCGGAAGACGAGGGGAGGGCATCGAGGCGGGGCAGGAAGATACTGAGGGGGTGGACGAGTGAGCGGAAGACGAGGGGAGGCTGGTGAGGTGAAGAGGGGGGAACTGATGAATACAAGAAGGAGCGGCGGACGAAGGAAGGAGATCGAGGAGGCGGGAGAGGACAACACAGAGGAGGTGGAAAAGGAGATCGGAGGACGACTGGAAGATATCGAGACGATGGACGCGGATGTGGCTGAGGAGGTGGACGAAGAAGAGGAGACAACTGGAGGATAGTGAGGACGTAGAAGAAGGGAGGGGTCTGAGGAGGTGGAGGAGGGAGAGAAGGTACAGCAAAGGCGCTTAGGGGGTGAGTCTCCGATTCACGTCACGGCGAGGAAACCAACAACTACTTAACCCCTGCGGCATGCATAAGCTGTGTGCGTATACAGATAGACCAATGCACATTTGCACACATATCAAAGTATTTCTTCACGTCGGCCAGAATAATCAAGCAAGCACATGAAGTAGGAAGGCGGAGCAGTAGATTGGGCTCAGGCCCTCCCAGGAGATAACAAAACCCATCAAAGCCATGCCGAGTCTTGAGTCTTGAAGAATATGGGGATGCGCGGGAGTCCACAAGTACCTAGTTTCAACAACCAGCGAGTATTCAAGTGTGGATGCGGGGCATAAGCCCAGCGTCCCAGGTCGGCCTGGGACGTCCCCCCTGGCTCTCTGAGCGAAGGGGGAGGGCCGCGCAGGGAACAACTCGCTGATTGGTCCAGAGCAGTGGCGATCTGGGGGCAGGACCTGTTCCTAAGGCCGTGGGGACGAATAGGACGGGGGGGGGAGGAGGAAGAGGAGGAGGACGGGGGAGGAGGCGGAGGAGGAGGAGGAGGAGGAAGGCCCTGCTCCTAAGGCCGTGAGGACGAGAAGGACGGAGGGCTTGGCCCTCGGGGGCTTCGGGCGGCGAACAGGCCACGGAAGAACGGGCCAGCCAGGGCGCAACGAACGCCTCGCGGCTCCATGAAGGCCCGGCTGTGCTGGCGCCGCCGGGGCTGGCGCGGCGCGGCGGCGAGTTGCTGCAGGATCTCGAACGGCTTCCAGCCTGCGGCCATCGTCGTCCTCGTCGTCCTCGTGTCGTCGTCGTCGTCGTCGTGGCCGCCGTCGTCGAAGGCGGCGTCGCCGTCGCCGCCGCCGCCGGTGTTCTCGTCGTTCCCGGGCGCTGCCAGCGGCGGCGGGGCGGAGGAGGAGCGACGAGTGAGGAATGGAGGGGAGTAGGTGGGACAAGGAGGGCGGGGCGGAGGAGTGCAGAGGAACAGGAGAGAGGAGGGAGGAGGAGAGAACAGGGAGGAATGGGAGACTAGGCAGGACAAGAATGGGGAGGGGAGAACGCAACACTTCGGGCGATGAGTTCGTTCGTGAGCGGGGCTACAAGCGCCCGTTGCCGGCGCTTCTTTGGCGGGCGGGGCCGCGTGAAAATAACGGGGGTGGTAGGCCATCCCCCCGGCGCAGTCGGAAAGACTATGTCTGGAAAGTGATTTTAGAAAACGAATTGACACACCCCACGCTCTTGCAAACATCCCACCCACCCACCCGCAACTTGGCTTGCAAAACCCATGTGGTGACGATTGCTATGAGTGCTTGGAGTTAGCTGGCCCATCTCTGCGGCCGCGACAACCCAAGCGCGCGCGCAGCGGCCAGCTAGTTTGGCGCGACCGACGCGGCCGCCTGCTGGGCACATCCCAGCTGGGCGACGACACCGACGACGTCTCCAACGACTTCGACGCCGACAACGACGACGACGACGACACCGACGACGGCGACGCCGACGCCGACGACGACGACGATGACAACGACGACGGCGATGACGACGCCGACGACGACGACAACGACGACACCGACGACGACGACGACGACGTCAACGACGCCGACGCCGACGACGACGACGACGACGGCGGCGACGACGACGACGCCGACGTAGACGACGACGACGACGCCGCGCGAATGAGGGGACATCTCCCCCGCGCGGAAACAACTTGAAATGCACCAAAGCAATCAATCGGTTGTTTTTCCTTGCTTTGTCTGCAGAGCGTCTCGTCGGTTGTTGCTGAGCGTCGTTGCCTTCCTCTCTGCGGTTCCCCAGCCACTCCCTCCTCTACGATCAATCCGCTGCCCAACAAGGCGAGCGCAATATTTGTTCTAGAACAAGGCGAAATCGACTTCCCGATGATGAGGTTCGGATGCTTAACTCTTGAGCCTGCTGCCATGCAATGAACTGCACGCGTGGGTGGAGCACGTGCGGTCCCGATTGAGAGGGGGCATCACCAGGAGAACCTCTCGTGCACACTCACTGTCTGAAACTGTCACGCGCTGTCACGCCGGCCCCCACAGCCAAGTATAGCTCAAATTACTCCATTTGCCCATCCATTGCTGTGAGGAGGAAGGGCCTCCCTGATCGTGGGGTGACGCCACAGAAACTTCGTTCTTGCATCCACGCGCGTGATAGACGGGTCATCTGAAAAAGGTGCTGTTCAGACTCTGGGGCGCCCCCAGACTCTGGGGGTTGGGGGTTGCTCCGACTTTGTCTCTCGTTGTCCGACTGTGTCTCCTCGCTCCTACCCCCTGCCTCCTTCTCTCCTCCTCCCTGTTTCTCTTCCTACTCCCTCTTCGCCTGCTTTTCCCAGTCCTTTCCTGCCTTTTCCTCCTCTTCCTCCTCCTCCTCCTCAACCTCCTCCTCCTCCTCCTCGCCCCCAGCGCGCCAAGGAGGCTTCCAAGATGGCCCCATGACGGCCCAGGAGGCCCCAAAAACCGCCCCAAGAGGCTTCTAAGACGCCCAAGATGGCCTCCAAGACGGCCCTGAAGCGCCTCAAGAGGACCCCACATCGGTTCAGAGAGGCCCCCAAGACGGCTTCCGACGGCGTCAGACCCGTCAGACGGGCCAAGAACGTTTTAAGACGGCCAAGGAGAGGCCCCCAAGACGCCCCCAAGGCCCCCAAGAGGCCTAAGGAGGCCCCCAAGAGGCTTCCAGGAGGCCCCACAAGAGTGCCCCAAGAGGCTCCCAAGAGGCCTCCTCCTCCTCCTTCTTCTCCTCCTCCTCCCTCTCCTGATCCTCCCCCTCAGCCTCCCCCAAGTGTTCCCCGAAGAGTTTCCGGAGCGGCTGGGGGAATACATAATCAGATAGCTTGGCCAAGCTGGGGCCCAACGTTTGGCCACATAGGCGCTTCTCAAAAAGGCTGGGGGCGGCGGTGATTCGCCGTAGGCTCTTGGATCCGCCGCCCCCTGTGCTTGCCACAGGGGTGGACGGCGTGCCAAACATTTTTGCTGCTCTTGTCAAACCCTTCCCAGTGGCCTTCGGCCCAGACCGCCTGCCCCTCGGAAGGACCAGAAGGTGTGGCCCACATCGCCACCAAGACGGCCCAAATGGCCCAAGATGGCCACCAAGATGCCTCCAAGGCAGCTTGGATTGCCCCAAGAGAGCCCAAGACGGCCCCAATATGTCTCCAAGACGGCCCAAGATGCACCCGAGGCGTTCCAAGATGGCCCCAAGATGGCCCAGGACGGCCCCAAAGGCCCCCAAGAGGCTTCCAATGCAGTCCAAGAAGCCTCCAAGGGGACCTGCAGGAAGGCCCGAAGAGGCAAAAACAGTTGATTTCCCGTGCGCTCTTGACGGATTTTGACGTTTTCGGCCTGCCGACGGCCCAATGCCGCCCAAGAGACCCCCAAGATGGCCCCAAGAGCGCCCAAGAGGGCTCCAAGACGGCCCCATGACGGCCTCCAGACGGTCCAAGAGGACCCCAAAGCGCCTCCAAGACGGCCCACGAGAACTCCAAGGCGCCCACGATGGCCTTCAAGACGGCTCCAACACGTCCAAGACGGCAACGATACGATTCGACATAGCCCCAGGATGGCCCAAGACAGCCCCAGAGGGCCCCAAGGGGATCCAAGGGGACTCCTAGACGGTCTAGGAAGTCTTCAAGAGGACCTCCAGGAGAGCCCGAAATGCCCAAATGGTGATATTCCCTTCAATTGTTGAATCATTTGGGCGCGTTTTCTTTTTCGGCTGTCCGACGGCCCAAGATGTCCACAAGATGGTGCCAAGACGGCCCAAGCTGACTTCAAGATGGCCCCGAAAGGGCCCCAAAGGGCGAGGAAACAGTCCAAGAGGAAGAGCAAGAGGCAAGGACGGAATCAGAGGCCGGAAGCGGCTCCGAGAAGCCTGCAGCTCAGCGCGGGCTCGTCTGCGGACGCCCTTACCCCCCCAGGGAAAACAGATCACCCCGAGGCCCGGTGATTTTTTGTGGGGCCGCCCTCTCAAGGCCCCACGGCCAGCTTTTTGGTCGAGGAGGAGGAGGGGCAGGAGGACAAGGATGTGATCAAGAGAAACCAGAGGAGCAGGAGGAGCAGGAGGACGAGGAGGTTGAGCAAGGGGTCAAGGACGGAATGCAAGGCCCGAAGCGGCTCCGAGACCAGACCGCGCTGAGCTGCAGGGTTTTCGGAGCCGCTTAAGGGCTGCTCAACCTGCTCAACCTCCTCGTCCTCCTGCTCCTTCTTCTCTTCGTTTTCGTCTTGATCAACGTCGTCGTCCTCCTGCTCCTCTTCTCCCTCGACCCAAGAGCCGGCCGTGGGGCCTTGAAAGGGCGGGCCGAAAAAAAACACCGGGGGCCTCGGGCTAATTTTTTTTTGGGGGGGGGCAGCGGCGTCCGCAGACGAACCCGCGCTGAGCTGCAGGCTCTCGGAGCCGCTGCGGTCAAAGAAAGGCTGCCCTGCAGGCTGTCTCGGAGCCGCTGCGGCCAAAAGAAGGACACTTTGTTGGTTAATTGTGGGGTCGCTTTGTCGGCTGATTTCGGGCGCGTCGTCGTCGTGGTCGTGGTCGTGGTCGTGGTCGTCGTCGTGGTCGTGGTCGTGGTCGTGGTCGTCGTCGTCGTCGTCGTCGTCGTCGTCGTCGTCGTCGTCGTCGTCGTCGTCGTCGTCGTCGTCGTCGTCGTGGTCGTGGTCGTCGTCGTCGTCGCCACCATCGTCGTGGTCGTCGTCGTCGTTGTCGTCGTTGCCGACGTCGTCGCCGTCGTCGTCGTCGTCGTCGTCTTCGTCGTCGTCGTAATTGTCACCGTCGTCAACGTTGTCGTCGTCGTCGCCGTCCATAAGATGTCCTCAAGAGGGCCCTACAAGAGGGCCCTAAGAGAGCCCCAAGAGGGCCCCAAGAGGGCTTCAAGAGGGCCCCAAGAAAGCCCCAGGAGTTATGTACCAACCCAGCGGCCGCTGGTACATAACTCCTGGGGCCCTCTTGGGGCCCTCTGAGGGCCCTCTTGGAGTCCTCTTGGGCCCCTGGTTGGCCCATGAGATGGCTCCAAGAGGGCCCTAAGAGGGCCCCAAGAGGGCCCCAAGAGGGCTCCAGGAGTTATGTACCAACCCAGCGGCCGCTGGTCTCCTGGGGCCCTCCTCCTCCTCCTCGGCGACGACGACGAGGAGGTGTAAACAGTGTAAACGCACCCTTACCCAACCCCTGCAGGACCGGGCAGCGACACTTGGACCATCCCGACCCCGATTTTGACCCCAGAGCTCTCGACCCCGTCCAGGAGTTCCCGACCCCAATCCACAGCTTTCGGCCCCATCCAGGAGCTCTCGACCCGCAGACGACGGCGACGACGACGACGACGACGAAGACGACGCCGCCTCGACCTTGAGTGGAAAGTTTCGCTGCTGCTTTTCCCCAGGGTTTTGGAGCCCTCGGGGCCCGGGGGGCCCCAAAACGGATCCGAAGCCTCAAGTTTTTCCGGCCCACGACCGACGACCGGCGACGACGACGACGACGGGCATGAGTTACTTGGCGCCCCCCCTTGGGAGCATCGGGTAACTGGGGGGTGCGCTCCACACTCCCCCCTTACCCGGTGTCCCCCGGGGGACATCGGGTAACTCGACCTTGCAGGGGGGGTGTTAGGCACGGGTTACCCGGTGGCCCCCAGGGGACATCGGGTAACTCGACCCTGCACGGGGGGGTGTCGGGCATGAGTTCCCGGGGTCCCCCGGGGGACATCGGGTAAGCCGGGGGTGCGCTCCACACCCCGCACTTACCCGGTGTCCCCCGAGGGGCGTCGGGTAAGTCGACCTTGCAAGGGGCGCATTCGGCATTATTCGGTAAACCGGTGGATCCCCATGGGACATCGGAGTCACCCGGCGTCCCCCGGGGGACATCGGGTAACTCGACCTTGCAAAGGGGGGTCTGGGCATGGTTACCCGGTGGCCCCCCGTTGGACATCGGAATTACCCGGTGTCCCCCGTGGGACATCGCAGTTTCCCGGTGGACCCGGTGGGACATCGACCTGTGGGACATCGGAGTTACCCGGTGTCCCCCGGGGGGCATCGGGTAACTCGACCTTGCAAGGGGGGTCTGGGCACGAATTACCGGGTGCCCCCCCGTGGGACATCGGCGTTACCCAGTGTCCCCCGTGGGACATCGGAGTTACCCAGTGGTCCCCGTGGGACATCGGCCCGTGGGACATCGGAGTTACCCGGTGTCCCCCGTGGGACATGGCAGTTACCCGGTGGTCCCCGTGGGACATCGGCCCGTGGGACATCGGAGTTACCCGGTGTCCCCTGGGGGACATCGGGTAACTCGACCTTGCAAGGGGGGGGTTGGGCATGAGTGACCTGGTGGCCCCCCGTGGGACATCGGAGTTACCCGGTGTCCCCCGTGGGACATCGGAATTACCTGGTGGTCCCCGTGGGACATCGGCCCGTGGGACATCGGAGTTACCCGGTGTCCCCCGTGGGACATCAGAATTACCCGGTGGTCCCCGTGGGACATCGGCCCTTGGGACATCGGAGTTACCCGGTGTCCCCCGTGGGGCGTCGGAGTTACCCGGTGGTCCCCGTGGGACATCGGCCCGTGGGACATCGGAGTTACCCGGTGTCCCCCGTGGGGCATCGGAGGTACCCGGTGGCCTCCGTGGGAATCTGGCCTGGTCCCTATTGGGACCCTCTTGGGGCTCTCTTGGAACCCTGGTTGGCCCATAAGATGGCTCCAAGAGGGCCCTAAGAGGGCCCCAAATGGCCCCAAGAGGGCTCCAAGAGGGCTCCGAGAAGGCCTCAGGAATTATGTACCAACCCAGCGGCCGCTGGTACATAACTCCTGAACCCTCTTGGGGCCCTCTTGGGGCCCTCTTGGAGCCCTCTTGGGCCCCTGGTTGGCCCCCAGAGGGCCCCAAGAAGGTCCCAGGAATTATGTACCAACCCAGCGGGCGCTGGTACATAACTCCTGGGGCCCTCTTGAGGCCCTCTGAGGGCAATTTTTTTGTTCAAACAAGCTGGAGCCCAATAAAGACGCGAGCATCGAGACGGCATACGACGCGCATGCGCTACGCACCGCCACAGTCAAGTGAGCCCTTTCGCATGACTATCCTCCTACATGGCCAAACCATAGCCTTCCTGCACGGCATGTCTGTAACCTCGCCCTCTATGATCTCGCATGAACCTGCAGCGGGCTACTTGTGCCCACTGCAAAGTCTAAAACTTGTCTTCAGAGGGCGTCGCACGATGAACTCTCATGACCTGCTACGACGATCCTCCGTCGGCCAACTATCCTGACAAATCTGAATATGCTATAGTGCGGATACGCTCAAAGGAGCGACGCAGAGACGAGGGGACCGAAAGGGTGAAAATCAGGACAGCGACCCGCAGTTACAACTTCACCTCGATGCGACAGTGGACGCCCTCAGAGGAATCGGGAAGCCCTCACTACAGCCGTGACTCGGCAGACTCATGGCGGATTGTGGAAATATTGCCCTCAGCGGGCAATCCAAAGCACAATCCCCTCACCCCAGAATAGGAGTGCCCGTGAGATGTGGCACACTCTGACATGCGTGCGATCGGTGTGAATCAGCGACTGCGTTGGCCGAAGACGAGCAGCTACCCTGTTGTAACGGAGCTGGCCCGTGAAGACAATTCAGACAGCACTTCGACGTCAACATGGCTTCATAAGAGATTGCAAACATTCCACGGCCCCCGTGGCCCACGAGAAGGCAATTGCCGCTACTCTGAGAGGTATTTGGAAGCCCTGACTGCAACCATGATTCAACGTACTCGTCGCGAGTGATAGAAAACATGATCCCGTTACTTCAAAATAGGGTGCCGTGACTCAGACTTCAGGGAGACGGTGCACCGTCGCCCTCTGAGGGCCCTCTTGGAGCCCTCTTGGGCCCCTGGTTGGCCCAAAGAGGGCTCCACGAAGGCCCCAAGAGGGCTCCAAGAGGGCCCCAAGAGGGCTCCAAGAGGGTCCCAAGAAGGCCCCGAGAATTATGTACCAACCCAGCGGCCGCTGGTACATAACTCCTGAACCCTCTTGGGGCCATCTTGGGGCCCTCTTTGAGCCATCTTGGGCCCCTTGTTGGCCCATATGATGGCTCCAAGAGGGCCCTAAGAAGGCCCCAAGACGGGCCCAAGAGGGCCCCAAGAGAGGCCTCAGAAACCGCTAGTAGGTGTCATCGAACAGCGCGTCTGGATGAGACCTCTCAGTGGTCTCTGGGGCGCGTCTTGGAGCCCTCTTGGGGCCCTCTGGAGCCCCCTGGGTGCTCCCAAAAAGGTTCCAAGGGACATCCGAAGGGGTGGAGGGGGAGTTGGACGGGGAGTGGAGGGGGAGGTGGAGGGGGGGCTGAGGTGGGTGGTGGAGGGGGGGGTGGAGGGGGGGTGGGGGGGTTGGTGGAGGGGGAAGGGAGAGGGAGAGGGAGAGGGGTTTGATTAGGAAACTGGAAGAGGTTTGACGACCACGACGACGACGACGACGACGACGACGACGACGACGACGACGACGACGACGACGACGACGACGACGACGACGACGACGACGAGTGGGCGCCTTGGAATTCTCGTGGGCCGTCTTGGGGGCGCCTTGGGGGCCTCTTGGACCGTCTGGAGGCCGTCTTGGGCCTGTCTTGGAGCCATCTTGGGCGCTCTTGGGGCCATCTTGGGGGTCTCTTCGGCGGCATTGGGCCGTCGGCAGGCCGAAAACGTCAAAATCCGTCAAGAGCGCACGGGAGATCAACTGTTTTTGCCTCTTCGGGCCTTCCTGCAGGTCCCCTTGGAGGCTTCTTGGACTGCATTGGAAGCCTCTTGGGGGCCTTTGGGGCCGTCCTGGGCCATCTTGGGGCCATCTTGGAACGCCTCGGGTGCATCTTGGGCCGTCTTGGAGACATATTGGGGCCGTCTTGGGCTCTCTTGGGGCAATCCAAGCTGCCTTGGAGGCATCTTGGTGGCCATCTTGGGCCATTTGGGCCGTCTTGGTGGCGATGTGGGACACACCTTCTGGTCCTTCCGAGGGGCAGGCGGTCTTGGCCGAAGGCCACTGGGAAGGGTTTGAAAAATAACAAAAGCCGCAAAATGTCTGGCACGCCGTTCACCCCTGTGACAAGCACAGGGGGCGGCGGATCCAAGAGCCTACGGCGAATCACCGCCGCCCCCAGCCTTTTTGAGAAGCGCCTATGTGGCCAAACGTTGGGCCCCAACTTGGCCAATCTATCTGATTATGTATTCCCCCAGCCGCTCCGGAAACTCTTCGGGGAACACTTGGGGGAGGCTGAGGGGGAGGATCAGGAGAGGGAGGAGGAGGAGAAGAAGGAGGAGGAGGAGGAGGCCTCTTGGGAGCCTCTTGGGGCTTCCTGGGGGCCTCTTGGAAGCCTCTTGGGGGCCTCCTTAGGCTTTTTTTTGGGGGCATGACATCTGTGCAGTCGTACGCATGGCGCTGTCGTTGCATCTGCAGATGTGCACAGCTGAAAATCTGAACACCGCGATGTCTGTAACTGCGGCATGTCCCAGCCTGCGCAAAGATCCGAACCCCTCCCCAACACATCACTGATCGCTGTGCGTCCTCCACCATAAGAGCTTGTGAGTCAATTTCAAACACTTGGCACCAACTCAGAGGCAATGTCTTCGCGGCGGAAAATTGCCTGAACGGTTCCTACCACCTATTCGGAAGGATACCACCAAGGGGCTATAGGCGGACTCCGTTATGATTCTTCAATGGCACTGTAATCATAACAACACTGCGTACTTTGAGTATGAATCCCGCCAATTTCGCCCAATCGAGTAGGAGAAGGAAGAGGAGGCGGAGAATGGAGAACACCGACGAGGACGGGGGCAGGAGGATATCGAGTAGTCTTGGCACAATCTCTGCACTTCATGCGGGTGCAATTTCATGTGGATCACACAAATGCACAGCGAAACGGGATACAACGAAAGTGCGTGCGTGACGACAATCCGCTCAGAGATCGGCACTCCTCCTGACTACCTCTCTTCCATGTTTGTATTTGGCGCAACAGCGCGCAATTGCTGCGCGCGCCCATACCTGGAGCTGGTTGCGCAAGTGCAGCGAGTGAAACACGTCCGCATGAACGTCTTCGCGGTTGGGGAACACTCCCCCAAACAATACGCCCGCCACGGCCGATAAGATAACTGTGGAGTACGGGGGCCGCCAGCACCCGTCCATATGAATAGAACAGTTGGCGTTGCGGCATCACTAACAGCGGGCCTCGCACGGCCTCGACGGTCGCATTGCGCGAAGATTCAGAGGGCCGACACTGCGACTGCAGGTGCGCCCGACGAGGGCGGCGACCCAGCAAAGCCCTACAGACAGGGGCACCATGGCCCCGCGAAAACTGCTCTCCAGGGGCACCCCGGGGAACGTGACGAGGGGGACGACGATAGGGACGATGAGGACGGAGTGGGGCCTCCTTAGGCCTCTTGGGGGCCTAGGGGGCGTCTTGGGGGCCTCTCCTTGGCCGTCTTAAAACGTTCCTGGCCCGTCTGACGGGTCTGACGCCGTCGGAAGCCGTCTTAGGGGCCTCTCTGAACCGATGTGGGGTCCTCTTGAGGCGCTTCAGGGCCGTCTTGGAGGCCATCTTGGGCGTCTTAGAGGCCTCTTGGGGAGGACGAGGAGGAGGAGGAGGAGGAGGAGGAGGAGGAGGAGGAGGAGGAGGAGGAGGAGGAGGATAGGAAGAGGGGAGGGGGAAAAGGAGGGAAGAGGGAGGAGGAAGAGAAAAGGGAGGAGGACCAGGAGAAGGAAGCAGGGGGTAGGAGCGAGGAGACACAGTCGGACAACGAGAGACAAAGTCGGAGCAACCCCCAACCCCCAGAGTCTGGGGGCGCCTACCCAACAAATTATGCCCGAGGCTGGAAGGCTTAGGGGCATTCGGCGTGAAATGTTGGAGGACTCTTCTCTGGCGACTCTAGCCCCAAACCGCCACCGCTCTCGAGGAGCAGAGCGCAGCGGCGCCGAATGTGGCCGACGGGGCCGGGCCAGCCACGTCATCACTAGTGTCGACACCCATCTCTTCCGCTGGGCCAGACAGAACGGGATCGTACAGGCAGGAGGTCTCGAAGCGCGGGAAGCGAAAGGTGATTGTGGCCTGGCTGCCCTGGGCACTGA